AAAAAAAAAAAAAAAAAAAAGCAGGCACAGTGGGTCAAGCCTGTCAACACTTTGGGATCTTAAGGCAAGAGGATCAGTTGAGCCCACTAATTTGAAACATGGCCCAGAAAGACAGTTTCCATGAGACACACACACACAGAAACAGAAGAGGTGAATTTGGGGGTGAGGGCATGGGGGTGGGAGGGGTGCCTGGGTCCTTTGTCCTTTCTCTAACCTTGGTAGATGTCCTGGAGAGAACCAGCCCCACAGAATTCCATGCAGATCCAGAGTTTCTGCAACCTGCAGTGGTTCAAGAATAAGAATAGTAATAGCAGTAATACATTCTTATTTCCAGGAAAGCCCCTGGTTTGCTTCTGTCTTGTTCTAGTTCAGTAAGAACTTTAAAGTAACAGCTCTCATCGCTCCATCTCTCCTGTCTACCAGAGTGAGGCTGTTTCATTCCCATTTTACAGACGAGGAAGTTAAGGCTCAGAGAGGAAATGTGTGTAGGGCAACTCAATTCGAACCTAGGTCTTTGGGTGGGACCCCTCTGCCGTCCCATGCCAACCCAGGAGACAGGGCAGAGATCTCACGGGTTGTGGAGGTTTAGAGGGGATAGAGGGGCCCAGGCCACCTGTTCTGGGGAGCAGAGGTCATTATTGGGGCATCCGGAATATTAATTTGGGGATCAGGGAATTTAGGAGTTTAAATTAAAGGAGTAGAGCCTGAAACTGGGGGAACCCAAGGGCAGAATGATGAGAGATTGGTTTCAAGGAGGTTGATTTCAGATTCCGTTATGAAGAGATCAGTTTGGTGTACTCTTGGTCAGAAATGGGAATTCAGGATTGGAGATTAGATTAGAGGCTGCTCTGGTCAGAAAAGTGGGACTTAGGAGTGGGATCAGGGTAGGGTTAGGCCAGTTAAAAATAGGAGCCCAGGATGGGAGGTTGGGTTATGGGGAGAACTGAGGGTGTCAAGGCCAGGCACGGTGGCTCACGCCTGTAATCCCAACACTTTGGGTGGCTGAGGCAGGTGGATTAGGAGGACAAGAGTTCAAGACCAGGCTGGCCAACATGGTGAAACCCTGCTCTACTAAAAATACACAAATTATTTGGCTGTGGTGGCAGGTGCCTGTAATCCCAGCTGCTCAGGAGGCTGCTTGAATCCGGGAGATGGAGGTTGCAGTGAGCCGAGATGGCACCACTGTGTTCCAGGCTGGGCAACAGGGCAAGACTTCGTCTCAAAAAAAACAAGAAAGAACTGAGGGTGCCCCCATCAAGAAACAGGGGCTCCGAGTTAGGGGCTGGGCTGGGTGCCAGGGTGGGTCTGAGGTTCATCACCAGAGATAACTCCCATGGTAGGCCACGATGTTAGCGTGCCGGCAAGTTTTCAACATGAGGATTTCCTTCTGAAGGGTGGAGACATCGTCGTCTGGAGGGCGGGAGAGAAAAGGCAGCTTGCACAGAGAGAGCTACGGGAGGTGATCCCAGTCTCCCAGGAGGCCAAGCTGGGGACGTGGGGAAGGAGCTCCGGATTCCCTCCTCACCAGGCTCCATCTTCACCATCTTCAGTGCCACCAGGTCCCCCGACACCTTGTCTCGAGCCTTGCAAAGGGGAAGTTGGCAGTCAGGCAGGCTCCATTTGCCGGAGTCTCTCCTCAGCATCCCTGAGTCAAGGCCAAGGACTGGGACCCCCCTCTTGCAGCCTCCTCCCTACCGAGGCCTTGCCTTAAAGGTCACTGGTTTAAGGGTGCTGGGGATGGAGGGGCTTCCTCACCTTAAAGACTTCCCCATATGTGCCGCCACCCAGTCGCTGCAGCAGGTCGTAGTGGTCCCGGGGGTCTCTATTGAAAATGTCAGGGTCCACGAGGTCCATCCCTGGGGGCCGGAGCTGGGCCTGCGCCCAGGGGCCAGAAGGGCCTCAGGGCTCAAGTTCTGGCACCTCCCTCCGTCCCCAGAAGCCCTGCACCCGCCTTGCCTCCGCGGGCTGTGGCCTCCCTCCACCCCACTCTCGCTTCCTGCCCCAGCTGCACTGCAGGGCTGTGCAACGGGCTCCACCCCCGTCCCCTGGGCTCTGAGAGCCTCTGAGGAGCAGCTCGTCTTGGGACCCAAGGGACCATCCTTAACCCCCAAGGCCCGGGGCTGGATGTAAATGTGATGCAAATGATCTTAATCGTAACTTGGGATGAGGGGTGCCTTGGAACCCCCGCCCCCGTCTCCTAGAATGGCTAAACCTCTGCGGGGTGCTTGAAGGTTTGGCCACAACCTGAAGGCGGCAAGTCTGCATAGGGATGGCTATGCAGTGTTCATGCCTGTTCACCTGGCACATACGTGCACTTAGGTTACCTCCTCTGCAGTGCGCAGGCGTGTAGACGTGCATATGCCTGGATATCTGTGTGCACCTGGGTACACGTGGATGTACCCAGGCCATATACTTGCACATACATGGCACATAGCTGCATTTTGTACGCCTGCAGTGTACAGAACCTGAATATAATATATAATTCATGGCTGTGCAGATGGGACGCTCGCCCTCAGCTCCAAGACCGGAACCTAATGGAGACGGGGCGCGATCCGGGGAAGCCCAGGAGCCCTCACCCCAGCCCTTGCCGGCAGAGAACAACAACTTTGTGCGACCCTCCTCCTGGAGCTGGGGACCAAGGGCCGGGACTTGAAACTGGAGAGCTCAGGATATTGCCCCGGGGGCCCAGGCCTGAGGCAAGAGGGACCTCAGAGGGCATCTCCCTCGGAACTTGGCCATGACCTAAAGGGAGGGCTGCTGCGTGCATTCCCGCAGGGATCGGTGGCTTTATGACCGCACGCAATACAACGCGCGCGCACGCCGCCAGAGCTCCGGCTGCTTCCCGGAGACTTTGCGTGCGCACGCTCCCGCGCCCCCGGCACTGGAACTGGGACTGTGAGGCCCGGGAAAACCTTAGCTCCGCCCCCGCGCCACGAGAGGAGCCTGCGCACTAGGATACAGTAGGCTTTTTCTCACGCTGTCCGTCCAGCGCGAGTGGAGCGAATGCGCACGCGCCAATTGCGCCTGCGACGAAGTCTCATTGCTGCCGGAAAGTGTGGCGGCTGCTGCGAGAGCCTTTCCCGTCACTGCCCCCAAGGAGCTGGAACGACAACAAGACGTCGTTTCCGTTTCCACTGCCTCTTCCTTTTCCCGTTTTCGAGGACGCCGTGCCCAGCCGGTGTTAGCCTCCAGCCCCGGTTGTGAAAGGCGACAGTAGTCATGGCGATGTTTGAGCAGATGAGAGCCAACGTGGGCAAGTTGCTCAAGGGTATCGACAGGTCTGAGCTCGGCCGGAGGGAGCGGGGTGGCCATGCGGGGTGGAGGAGAGGGTTTTCTGGAGACAGCAAGGGGGTGGTCAGGAACCTGGGCTGGCCGCGGTGTGGGGTTTCTCTATCCTCCTGGAAGAGGAGATGCTAAAGAAACGGCACTGAGCTGGGCGCAGTAGTTCACGTCTGTGATTTCAGCACTTTGGGAGGCCGCGGCAGGCAGGTCGCTTGAGCCCAGGAGTTCGAGACCAGCCTGGGCAACATAGCTAGCGACACCGCCGTCCCTGAAAGAAAGAGACAGAGAGAAAGGGAAAGAGAGAGAGAGGAAGGCATGGAGGGAGGGAGGTACAGCACTGCAAAGGTCTTAAAGCGAGAGAATCTGGCCGGGCGCGGTGGCTCACGCCTGTAATCCCGGCACTTTGGGAGGCCGAGGCGGGTGGATCACGAGGTCAAGAGATCGAGACCATCCTGGTCAACATGGTGAAACCCCGTCTCCACTAAAAATACAAAAAATTAGCTGGGCATGGTGGCGCATGCCTGTAATCCCAGCTACTCAGGAGGCTGAGGCAGGAGAATTGCCTGAACCCAGGAGGCGGAGGTTGCGGTG